AGATGCGCTATTGTTCCCACTGGTCTTTTTTATTGCCTTCCAATGTGCACATCTGGTCTTCTAATGGGATATATTGAGGCTAGAGATCCACTGTTCTGTGCACGGAAGCAATCTATACAGAAGATGTTTGATACTTACTTACTAGATGAAGGAAGAAATCTGCCTGAACGTATATTTAAAGTGTTCATTTCTTAGAAGATAAAATATCTGTGTTAGCCATAATTCCTAGAGGAAGCCCATCTAGCTGAACTGTTCTTCAGAGCTCCATAGAGATTCCTCGAAGAGCTTATTCTAAAACTCTCACTTTGCATCGACAGTGCAGAAAAGTGATTCTATGAAGAGCCAAGCGTATATTTTCTAAGGTAGCTCACAAAGACACATTTCTGCATCCCACTTTGGATGTAGTGACTGGGACCTGAAAAGCTCATGAGCCACCATGGAAGGTGCAGGTACTGTCTCCCCGTAGCCAGAGGCGGGAGGAATGATGAAAACAGAAGATGCATGAATAGACAGTCCAATGCACTCACGGACGATGGGAACCTCAGTCTCCAGGACCCGGAGAGCAGAAGAACTATAGGGTGCCGGGATGTCCCAACCAAGTGCTTTGAAAGAGATCATCTGAGACGGTCCAGGACAGAGTGGGAAAAAATATGGAATAAAATGTATAATCATTAAAAAAAAAAAAAAGGCTATCCATAGGCTTGTTGGTGTTATTCCAACACCAAACTCTTCAGGTCTGGACATAAATTCACCCCTGTGTCTCCATTTCCAATCAAAGAAGAGTCAGTCAATAAGGGAAATCATAACGCTCATGAGGTACGCACACACCTTAAAATAATCAGCCACTGGAGATGAAAAAGGCAACATTCACCAAGGAATGGAAACAGGAAACACAGGGAGGAAGGGAAATAACTGAAATTATCTTGGAGAAATTGCAATCAATGAGGTGAAACAAAATGCATATGCATTTTTGACTGGAAAATGGATCTGCTCGGTCAACCTTCACCCATTTCACAATAAAGAGTTTAAAAAGAAGAGTTATGTGCCTTTGCCATGCCTTTATAAAACAAAGCTGCGTACTAACTTGGCTTTTGTAAAAATCACACGTCTGTATTTGCGTAAGTTCTACCCATCCTCAAGGCAGAGTCAAATCCAACGTCTTCCCCAAAATTTCTCCAGTGTCTTAAGTCTGAGTTCATTTGTTTACATATCAAATGTTTACCAAGCTTCTATTTCGTGCCGGACACTCTGTAGCTCTCATAACATCACGGAGTCCTCAGTCTGTCTTTACTGTTCATGTACGCCATTTCTTTCCTCAACTGTGGGGTTCCAGAGTGAGGAACACTGCCCACCTCCCCTCTGAAGCCCTGGCATCCGTGGTGCTTTGCACACGGCCGTTGCAGTGAAAGGTGAGCCTGCTAAAACACAGCCCAGGTGGCTGTGCTGGAGGAAAAAAGTCTTCCAAATGGTCTGGTTTGCTAAAGACCAGGGAAGCCGAGGTGCTTAATAATCTAGTATCTTATCAATCCCACCAGGTCTCAATGAATTCCTTTCCTTCATGCCTCTTTCTATCCCTGTTGGAAAACACGTTGACAAATATTTTCTCTCCTTCTGTCAAGCACTATCTCTGCAACCAGTCACTGTCATGGCACAGGGTTGTGCATGTGGTTGCCATCAGTCGGGGGCTGTTTCGAAGGCAGCTAATAACAATCACCCTCAAGTTAGGGGTCCACATTTCAGTTATATGCCCCTTAGGAGAAGCAATATACCTAATTTGGCAAGAAAAGTGGAAACATATTCAAGTGACTTCCAGAAATTGAAACGTTGCCGCATCAATTGCCTCCTCCATCCACCCAGCCCGCTCCAACCAACCACGGGATGCCTGGAAACACACGCGTCGGCCACCCGTGCAGTCACACTAGCAGCCGAATCAAGACAACTAGCGAAGAAACGGAACGGAAAGGCAGGCAGTGCCACTTACACGGAAACCAAAACCAAACCAAACCAGCTCACGGCTGAGTCGAGGCCCTCTCACAGCAACCCCAGAGGGCAGGGTAGCACCGGCCCTGGGGATTTCCACGGCTGAGTCGAGGCCCTCTCACAGCAACCCCAGAGGGCAGGGTAGCACCGGCCCTGGGGATTTCCTGACACTGTTAACTCTTCATGGGAGTAGAAAGCCTCGTCTTTCTCCTAAGGAGCCAGTGGTGGCTTTAAACTGCTGACCTTGGGGCTAGCAGTGCGGAATCCCTTTGCCACCCAGGCTCCTTCATATGAGGAGAGGAGGGATACATGTGTTTGACAAAGTGTCGCAGGATCCCAGTTCTAACTGAGCAAGAGTAACAAAGCAGAATACACGCAGAGTGTGGTGACATGCACTGGGTGAGGGTCAACGGACCTGCAGGGCACAAGCAAAAAAATAGGAGCCCACGGATGCTGGGGAGAGGACCAAGCAGCACACAAACTCCCGGCACATGGTAGGCACCAAACACATGACAGCTATTAGGAGCTGCTAAGGTCTACTTTCAATATCCCTCCTTTGTGACACCGTGCCAGAGCTCCTGAACTCCTTCCTCTGGGCTCCCACAGCACTCGGTACCGGCTGCCACTGTGGCTGTACCACATGCACCTGTATCTCCCATTCATAAGCAGGAAGTTTCTGGGAGGTAGGGGTCAAATTCTACACTTTTCTGGGATTGGAACACAGTGAGCCGTTATCAAGTGAGAGAGTAAACAAACTGCCTCACTGACGACATGAGGCAACATGGAGCTGGTTTCCGCTCATAGCAACCTTTCTCTACAACAGCGTGAAACATTGCCTGGTCCCGTGCCATCCTCAAAATCAGCCCTCTATGTTTGACCCCACTGTGGCACCCCGTGTGTCAATGCACCTCACTGAGGGGCTTCCACTTCTCCACGGACTCACTGGTAGCATTCGTTTCTCTCAAGGAGAATAACGTATGGCCAGAAAGCAGGGGACAGTCAGCATGGAAGATCATGTCTACTTCTTCTTGCTCGTTCCTTCACATCTCACGCACCCCTCTCTCTCCCATGGCATTCATGGCTCTTCTTCCAGCACCTGTCGGAAACGTGTTTGCCAGAGCAAACTCCTCCTGATGACAGACAACACGGAGGGCTGGGTGAACGGGGATGTGTTTGCGTCTCATTTCTTACTGAGACTTGCAAATGTTAGGGGCGTGGTACAGAGTGCCTTTCCCTGTGCTCCTTTTGAAAAGCATGGCACTTATCTTATGGATTGTCCTTTAACTTGGGTTTGACTCTTGGTTCTGTGACTTATAATTTATGTAGCCAAGAGCAAGCTAACTTTTCTGGGGGGTGGAGGGGCACTCAAGTGTCCTCACCTCTAAAACTGGAATAATAATATTGACCCAATGAAGTCATTTTGAAAATTAAAAGAGATAAAGTATCTTAAAATGTCTAGGATCTAGGCTATTCGCCACAAAAGACGCCAAGTCTTCTCTTCTTGACCTGTCTTTCAATTATTTCTTATATACCGTATATACGCGAGTATAAGCTGACCCGAATATCAGCTCAGGCACCCAATTTTACACAAAAACTGCTGAAAAACTCGGCTTATCCACGAGTATATACAATATAAATATATGTATTTCTTCTTGCTAAGATGTCTTACTCATATTTTAGTGCCTACTTTTGTAGATAAAAACACATAAAACTGACCCTTCTACAGATGACTCAGTGTCATCACGACTACTAGCCGTTGATGTTGGTCTGTGTTGGGCTTCATTCTACCTCACTGCTGCCCTCTCTCACTGTCAGTAGGCCAGGTGAGGAAGACTTCAGCATTCCCTTTCTGATTTCCAGCTTGGGCTGTGCTAGGGTGCATTTATTCACTCGCACATTCAATCAAGGGCTCAGTGAATTTCTTCAGTGCCAGGCCCTATGTTAGGATCTTGGAAGCAGTCGGTGAAAAGTGAGCTTGTGTCTTCCTTGATTTTACCACTAGTGGGGAAATGGCCCAGAGAAAGACGAGGCTGTCTGCTCCTGTAAGATTTACCAAGCGTTACCACAATGGCAGTGGGTTTGGGCTTGGTCTTGAGGAAATGGACAATAGCTGATTATAATTCGAAGTGATTAAATCTATGAAAGGCATAAGCCTAGATGCCCATAAAAAGATGACCTAACCTGGGCTGGAGAAGAGGGTCGGGACAGAAAAGGCATCATAACAAGACACCACTGCCTGAGGTCAGGCCTGTAGCACACGCAGCATGAACCAGATGGAGAAGGGAAGAGAGTGTGAGGCCCCGCGTTCAGGAATAGCCATGAGAATGGTGTGCCGAATAAAGGTAAATGAATGAGCTCTCCTATGTTGTAAACTTGCAGATTGAGAACAATTTTGCACCAGGACCTCAGGGGCTCAGAAACATCACCAGGAAACTTCTGGCTCTGTTCTGGGGGCTCCCCTAGTCAGACCTAAACTGCTGGCTATTATACTACACTTACCTCTTCCAACATCTGTGAATCGAAGTAAAATTTAAGGCCACAATCGGCTGCTTGTTTCCATTTGAAAAGTTAAATGGGTTTGTCCCTTTCTGACAGAGGAGTTTCTCACTTAAAAGAAAAAAAACCCCAAACAACCCAGTGACCATTGAAAAGTCCTTCTGAAACCCACCCTTCCCAGCTGAAATTGGCAACCAATTTTTCCTTCTCAGCACTCATTCCTGTGGCCCCAGTGGTTGGACGCTGGATTCCACTGATTCCAAAGCCCCCGTCTCACCACGCTAATTTGTCATCTTGCCAAGTGTTACAAGCTTATGCCCATGCGATACTGGAATTTAGGAGACGCTAATATAAAAATTCCCAAGTATCCAGGGCACCTTTGCCAGGGAGCATTTTACTCTCCTGACTGTCTCCGTTTCTTTTCATCTGGAGGGTAAGGAAATGGAGTTCTTTGAGCTGTTCTCTGCAGGGAATATTCCTCAAATCTTAACTGCTTCTAACTGCAAAGCAATCATAGTACATACCGTCAACTGGTGTATCAGGAGGTCCATTAAGAAGGTAATCTTGTTACTAAACAGAACATCGGTGCAGTTTTCTGAGCAGCAATTGCAGGTGAGGTTGTAAACGTTGATGGCGCTGCAGAGAGACCTAACAGAAGAACAGCACCATTAAGAAAACCTGCACAGCGCTTCTCCCAACACTTTACAACACATCAAACGAACAGCACAGAGGCGACGGGCCTGGGATGGGAGTCACACTACAAAAACCTACTCCAAAACTTTAAAATAAGGTCGGTCAGCTAGAGTGAAAAAAAAAGCTTATAATCTTCATTCAAAGCTCAGTGTTCACTCTTATTAATTTTGAATAGTCGCAGCTGCACACAATGGAAACATTCGCCAGTCTGGTGAGTTCTTAGTAATCTCAGGCTAGATAGTATTACCCAGGGATGGTGGGATCCTGGAATCCTGTGACTAATGCTGGTAGAACAGAGTCTGGGGCAGCTATTGTTGCCGGGGCTCCAGGGGTGGAAGAGGAGCAGACGACGGAAGAAGGGAGTGCCCATGAGGAGAAACGATAGGCTTTGTTCTATCTGTTCTCTCGAGTCTGTTCTGAGTCCTGGTGACCCCGTGTGACAGAGTAGAACTGCCCCCCCCTCCCCAAGAGGGCCAAGGCTGTAATCTTTGCAGGACCCTACCACCACATCTTCCTCCCGTGGAGCGGCTGGTGGGTTCAAACTTTGGCCTTTACCACCACGCTTGAAACTTGGTACCATCAGGGCTTGCTCCTAGGACACAGGTCCTGCAAGGTTCTGATGAGAGCATCCCATCCTCGCCTAGAGGCTGGGCACACATGGACACGGAGGACCTGAGCAACGAGGAGATCTTGCCCAGAGCAGCAGCAAGCTTACCTGTGTGGGCCTACTAAAGCTTCCGAAGAAGCTTCAACTTCGGGTGTGGCTGAAGGTGAGGGGCTATGAAAAATTTGGCAACAGTAAAATGCTTCTAACGTGCAAGGACCAAAAATCAATTCAAAATCACGTGCATAATGAATCTGAGGGGGTTCTGGCAGTGCGTACCCGTGTTGCACATTTCTCAGGTGAAAAGGGGTTGCTAACGGGAAAAGTTTTAGAAGCCCTGGAGACAGGCTAAGCTCAAGTCCATCCGGCATGTGTTGTCTCTAAGGGATAATCATGACATTGCTGTGCCTGGTCTGAATGGGCCTTCTCCCGGTGCTTGGAAGACTGTGACTAAAGGCTGCATTGCCCGAGGGAGCAATGTGGATTCTGCTGGTCTGCCTCCATCGCCCTCTTCCGGCCTGTCCACCAGTGTGTTGCTTCAGTCCCTTACAGCCAACCCTCTAGAGACAACAGCAGAACCACCCAACACTTGCTGGGGTAGATATCATCAAGGTGAAACTGGTGTGTGTGTGTGTGTGCATGTGCACAGACATCAGCATGTTTTAAAAGCATTACGGGCAGTTCTGCTATGCAGCCGGAGTTGAGAACCACACGTCTGAGAACCACATGTGAGTATTCATTCACTCAGCAAATATCTCAGTCTCTATGATGTTCCTGACACTGTGCCAGACGGACCAGAAAATGGGGGTGGTAGGCCAAATAAGTTTGGGAACCTATGTTGTAGTGGGATAGAGACAGTGGTGAGTTCCTGTTGTAATGATCTGTTTTGAGATTGTTGTTCCCTCCTTCATTTAATTTACAGGCTCCTAAAGTTAAGAACGCGGGAGGAAGATGAGGCTTTCTCATCCCGTCAAGAGTTACAGGCTCGGAAACCCACGGGGCAGGTCTACTCTGTCCTGTGGGATTGCTGTGCGTTGGAATGGACTCGATGGCAGTGAGTTTGGTTTGAGTTACAGACTAAGCACAAAGAGCTCTGGTGGCATTATGGGATGAGTTTGGGGCTGCTAGCCACAAGGTTGGAAGTTGAAACCCACCAGCTGCTCCGTTGGAGAGGAAATGTGGCTGTCTGCTCCTAGAAAGATTTACAGGTTTGAAAACCTTATATGGGGGTTGATACGAATCAGAATCGACTATGTCAATGGGTAAGCTTTTTGGGGTTCAAAAGCTAGGCACAGTGGAGCACAGTGGTTATAGAAACAGACACCGTGATAGCACGTGCTTTGGTTAGAAGCCTACTTAGGATTTTAAACAAATTATGATTCAGATGTCTTAGCATTCATTTTCTCACATGTAAAATTGAGATACCAATACCTAAGCTTCATATGGTTGGCCAAAAATTAAATGAGATAATAGACATAAAGTGCTAAGAACTCAATGCCTGGGACATGGCTAAATATTTAATAAATGGTACTCATCATTGGGGCTATTCATTTTATCATTCTTGTAATGAATAAGGGAAAATTGAAATGTTGATCAACTGAATCAAATCAAAGTGTACCATGGATGCTATTACTTCCAGGATAAGAAATCACAATGCTTCCAACTTTGCTTTCTATTTTTGTTTTGAATCATTTTATTGGGGGCTCATCCAACTCTTATCACAATCCAGACATACTTCAATTGTGTAAAGCACATTTGTACATTCATTGCCCTCATCAGTCTCAAAATCCAACTTTGTTTTCTAGCACACAGGATGAACTGACTCAACCCACACCCCTCCCACACACACACACACAGGAGGGAGCTGGGAGGCGGAGCCACCTCCCTGGCCTCATGGAATCTCCCTTAGGACTTTACAGAAACAGCTTGGTCCACAGGTAGCCCATTTGTGAGACACTCTCTGGAGGCTCTGTCTAGTAAACCTTTCACAAATGTAAATAAGCATCATTTTATTTATTTGATAACATGTCTGGATTTTTCAAAAGAGTGCTTTTCTTTTGAATTATAGAGACATGTATTTTTATGATTATAAAAATAATTTTAAAAATACGTGCAATCAATTTGGAAAAGGGAAGCACAGACCCGTTTTTTGGTAAACGAAACTCAGGACTGATGAACCTGTGGGGGCAGTACGTAGAATAAGGGGGTTGGGGGACAGAGGCACAGTTGGTGACGGTGGTGGGGTAAAAGGGAGATGAAGTTAAGGAGTGCATGCAGAAAAGGACTGTTTGGAAACTGCGGTAGCAATTGTACAATTCTATTGACGTGATTGAAATGCAGAATGATACATGTATTAAATTCCAACTTAAAAAAAATCCCAACTAAAAAGAGAGACAGAGAAGTATAGAGAAGTGGTAAAAATACGATCAAGGGATGTGGTAGTTGTACTTCCATGTACTACTCTGCTCATAAAATACATACGAGGGCATTTCAGGTCAAAATGGAATGAAACAGTGGAATTTTTCCAGAAACTTTTTGAGGTCCCTCATATTTAGTAATTTTTAAAAAACATTTCCCAAGAGTTAATATTCTTGAACAATGATCTGAAATCTTTTAAGCAGAACATTTTGCTCAGAAACATAAACCATAAACCCCAAACCAAACTCCCTGCTACTGAGCCTGCCACTCTGACTCGGTGACACTGTTGGATAGGGATGATGTCCTCCTCTGGGTTTCTGACACCGGGACTCTTTTCCCTTTTTTAATTTAAGGAGAACATTTATTAAGTCTTAAACAGAACAAGATGAGACAAAGACAAAGATGAATTGTCCAAATGAGAGAGACCGTAAAGGGATCTAAATTCACTCCCATCACGTCCATGCTGGTGCACAGCAACCCACAGGGCAGAGCAGACCAGCCCCTGTGCGTTTCCAAGACTATGACTCGCTAGGGGGCTAGAAAGCCCTGTTTTTCCCTTAGAGCTGCTGATGGGTTTGAACAGCTGACCTTGCAGATTGCAGCCTGATTTGTAACCACTACGCCACCAGGGCTCCTTATAATAGCGTCCAAGAGTGCAGAGATTTAGAAGCTTAGAAAGGACATGGGAGGATAAAGGAAAGGGTCACAAACGCATGACTGGCGGCAGATAAGAACATCATGGTTCTAGGTGGGGCTCTGGAAGCAGGAACAGGACCATGAGTGGGACACGGACGTTATTTAAGAGCACGCAGGGCAGACTCACGACTGTGTGAACTCAGCATGGCGGTCTCCTTCAAGGACACACACAGGCTAGTCGCTAGCGCTCCTAATATACCTCTCCTGGTTCTACCTACTCTTTGCACTGCCACTGCCACCATCTATCCCAGCAATAGCCATGACCTGTTCTTCCCACTTCTACTCTGGTTGCCCCCACTTAAGAACAGACGGTGACCTAGAAAAGCACTTGCCCTTTAAAAAATGAGAAACGATTTGATACATACAGAAATACGTGCCAGACGTGAAGGTTATAAAGCATCACCATAGAACATCTGTATGTCTCCCTCCCAACCTAGGAAGATGGGCAAACTCCTCCATCTACGTAGCAGGGCCCTTCCACAGTGCTTGCCTCCTGTCTACGAAGCAAACACTGGGAATCCATTCTTCTTTTTCAAAACCATGCCTCCCTTGCACTCCTTCATGACGATGTATGTTTCTTTCTCTCTTTTTAAACAGTTTTATTGGCATACACTTCACATAGCATACAATTTAATCAAGCAATCATATTAAGAAGAGTTGTGCAATCATCCCCACAATCCAGTTCAGAACATTTTCATTGTTGTTGGCTCCCCCTTGTCCCACCAACTTCCCTTCCCATACCCCTTAAGCTTTAAGCTCATTGCTATGGAGTCCATGCTGACTCAGTGACCTTACAGGACAGGGCAGAACTGCCCCTGTGGGTTTCCAAGATGGCAACTCTCTACAGGAGTAGAAAGCCTCTTCTTTCTCCTATAGTGACTGGTGGTTTTGAACAGTTGGCCTTGTGCTTAGCAGCCCAACATATAATCTCTACGACACGAGGGCACAGGCTGAAGCAGAAGTGGGGGACAATGCATTGCTCATTCCTCTTAAAGTCTTGCAGCATTCTGGTGAGGGTATGTCTGAAACTATTTAGCTGTTAAAATTTAACTTGGGAACTTTTAGAATAAGAGATGTGAAGCACAGTACAACATGCAGAGCCCGGGAACACCTACTCTTGCTCAAGCCCACCAGTCACTCCACTGTTCCCCACGGCTACTGGTGGACTCTTCTTCCACGGACAGATGATGCATATGCAAGCATTGCTTTATCCCCTATATAAATAAATGTCAGACAA